TAGTAGAGTGGAGATAACCAATGAATAAATAAAACCAATGAACATGAGGATGGTTGAATATAATTCACCAAACTGAACAGAGGAGAGATGAAAACAAGAACAGTTTCAGAGTCTTTGGATAATAACCAGAGATCCAATATTTGTACAGAGTCCCAGAAGGAGATCAGAAAGAGAGTGAGGCTGAAAGAGTATTTTTAGAAATAACTGAAAACTAAAATTTGGTAAAATGCACAAGTGTCCAGATTCAAGAGGCTGAGCAAAAAGCAAATGGGATAAACCCAAACAAATCTATGCCGAAAAATATCACAATAAAATTCTGAAAATTGAAGACAAAGGAAACATCTTAAAAGCAGCCAGAAAAACTGTACCTTACCCGTAGGAGGACACCGATTTGAATACCAGTGGATTTCTGAGTTGAAACCATAGAGCCAGAATGAAGTAGCACAATATTTTTCAAGCACTGAAAGAAATAACTGTCATCTGTGAATATTATATCGAGTGAAACTATACTTCAAAAATGAAGAGTAAATAAAGATATTCTCAGATGAAGGAAAACTAAAATAATTTGTTGCCAGTAGATGTGTCAGGAGGCTAAAGGAGGTTCTTGGAACAGGAAGGAAATAATAATAATAATAATAATCATCATCATCATCATCATCATCATCATCATCATCATCTAGGAACCTCAGTTAGAAAGAAAGATCAACAGATAGGGCAGAAATATGGGTCCATACAAGAGATTATCTCATTTTTTAATGCATTTTATAAATCACATTTCATGACTGAAATAAAAAAATATAATATCAGCTGATACCCAAAACAATGATATTTCAAAGCGGGAAATGTAAAGGGACCTAAATGGAAATGAGAGATCCCTACTTGACTCCAAGTGGTAAAATGGTGATACCAGTAGGTGATGATTTATGTTTTTTAAAATTTTTATTGGAGTACAATTGATTTATAATGTTGTGTTAGTTTGAGGTGTACAACAAAATGAATCAGTTATACATATACATATAACCACTTTTTTTTTTTTTTAGATTCTTTTCCCATATAGGCCACTACAGAGTATTGAGTAGAGTTCCCTGTGCTATGCAGTGGGTTCTTATTAGTTACCTATTTTATATATGGTTGTATGTATATGTAAATCCCAATCTCCCTATTTACCCCTCGCTCTCCTGCCCTTATCCCCAGGTAACCATAAGTTTATTTTCTACATCTGTGAATCTACTTCTGTTTTGTAAATAAGTTCATTTGTACCCCCCCTTTTTTTAAGATTCCACAGATAAGTGATATCGTATTATATTTGTCTTTCTGTCTCTGACTTACTTCACTCAGTATGACGGTCTCCAGATCCATCCATGTTGCTGCAAATGATATTATTTTGTTCTTTTTTATGGCCGAGTAATATTCCATTGTACATATGTACCACATCTTCTGTATCCATTCCTCTGTTGATGGACATTTATGTTGCATCCATGTCCTGGCTATTGTAAATAGTGCTGAAATGATCATTGGGGTGTATGTTTCTTTTTGAATTATAGTTTTCTCTGGGGATATGCCCAGGAGTGGGATTGCTGGGTCATATGGTAGTAGTTCTATTTTGAGTTTTTTAAGGAACCTCTATACTATTCTTCATAGTGGCTGTACCAATTCACATTCCCACCAATAGTGTAGGAGGGTTCCCTTTTCTTCACACCCTCTCCAGCATTTACGTTTGTAGATTTTTTGATGGTGAACATTCTGACCAGTGTGAGGTGATACCTCATTGTAGTTTTTATTTGCATTTCTCTAATGATTAGTGATGTTGAGCATCTTTTCATATGCTTTTTGGTCACCTGTATGTCTTCTTTGGAGAAATGTGTATTTTGGAGATTGATCCCTTGTCAGTTGCTTCATTCGCAAACATTTTCTCCCATTCTGAGGGTTGTCTTTTTGTTTTGTTGGTGGTTTCCTTTGCTGTGCAAAAGCTTTTAAGTTTAATTAGATCCTAGCTCTTTAGTTTTGTTTTTATTTTCATTACTCTAGGAGGTGGACTAAAAAAGATCTTGTTGTGATTTATGTCAAAGAGTGTCTGCTTATGTTCTCCTCTAAGAGTTTTATAGTATTGGCCTTACATTTAGGTGTTTAATCCATTTTGAGTTTATTTTTTGTGGATGGTGTTAGGAAGTGTTCTAATTTCACTCTTTTACACATAGACATCCAGGTTTCTCAGCACCACTATTGAAGAGACTATCTTTTCTCCTTTGTATATTTTTGCCTCCTTTGTCGTAGATTAGGTGACCATAGGTGGGTGGGTTTATCTCTGGGCTTTCTATCCTGTTCCATCAATGTATATTTCTATTTCTGTGACACTACCATACTGTCTTGATTATTGTAGCTTTGTAGTATAGTCTGAAGTCAGGGAGTCTGATTCCTCCAGCTCAGTTTTTCTTTCTCAAGATTGCTTTGGCTATTTGGGGTCTTTTGTGTTTCCATGAAAATTGTGAATTTTTATGTTCTAATCCTGTGAAAAATGCCATTGGTAATTTAATGGGAATTACATTAAATCTGCAGATTATTTTGGGTCATATAGCCATTTTCACAATATTGATTCATTCAATCCAAGAACATGGTGTATATCTCCATCTGTTTGTGTTGTCTTTGATTTCTTTCATAGGATCTTAAAGTTCACTGAGTACAGGTCTTTTGCCTCCTTAGGTAGGTTTATTCCTAGGTACTTTATTCTTTTTGTTGCAATGGTAAATGGGGGTGTTTCCTTAATTTCTCTTTCTGATCTTTCATTGTTAGTGTATAGGAATGCAAGGGATTTCTGTGTATTAATTTTGTATCCTGCATCTTCAACAAATTCATTGATGAGCTCTAGTAGTTTTCTGGTAGCATCTTTAGGATTTTCTATGTATAGTATCATGTCATCTGCAAACAGTGAGTTTTCCTTCTTCTTCCCCCAGTTGGATTCCTTATATTTCTTTTTCTTCTCTGATTGCTGTGGCTAGGACTTCCAAAACTATGTTGAATAAAAATGGTAAGAGTGGACATCCTTGTCTTGTTCCTGATCTTAGAGGAAATACTTTCATTTTTTTACCTTTGAGAATGATGTTTGCTATGGGTTTGTTGTATATGGACTTTATTATGTTGAGGTGTGTTCCCTCTATGCCTACTTTCTGGAGAGTTTTTTTTTAATCATACATGGGTGTTGAATTTGTCAAAAGCTTTTTCTACATCTATTGAGATGATCATATGGTTTTATTCTTCAGTTTGTTAATATGGCATATCACATTGGTTGATATGTTTATATTGAAGAATCTTTGCACCCCTGGGATAAATCCCACTTGATCATGGTGTATGATCCTTTTAATGTGTTGTTGGATTCTGTTTGCTAGTATTTTGTTGAGGGTATTTGAATCTATATTCATCAGTTACATTGGCCTGTAATTTTCTTTTTTTGTGATGTCTTTGTCTGGTTTTGGTATCAGGGTGATTGTGGCCTCATAGAATGGGTTTGAGAATGTTCCTTCCTCTGCAGTTTTTTGGAAGAGTATAAAAAGGATAGGTGCTAGCTCTTCTCAAAATGTTTGATAGAATTTGCCTTTGAAGCCATCTGGTCCTGGACTTTTGTTTGTTGGAAGATTTTAAATCACAGTTTCAATTTCATTACCTGTGATTGGTCTGTTCATATTTATATTTCTTCCTGGTTCAGTCTTGGAAGTTTGTACTTTTCTAAGAATTTGTCCATTTCTTCCAGGTTGTCCATTTTATTGGCATACAGTTGCTTGTAGTCATCTCTTATGATCCTTTGTATTTCTGTGGTGTCAGTTGTAACTTCTCTTTTTCATTTCTGATTTTATTGATTAGAGTCCTCTCCTTTTTTTTTTTTTTTGTTTTTGTATCCAGTAGCCAGTTTGTGTCTTTTAGTTGGAACATTTAATCAATTTACATTTAAAGTAATTATTGATATGTATGTCCTTATTGCCATTGTCTTAATTATTTTGGGTTTATTTTTGTAAGTCTTTTTTCTTCCCTTCCTTTTTTGTTCACTTCTCTTGTGTTTTTTGCCTGGAAAAGTTCCTTTAGCATTTGTTGTAAAGCTGGTTTGGTGGTGCTGAATTCTCTTAGCTTTTGCTTGTCTGCAATGTTTTTGTTTTCTACAGTGAATCTGAATGAGATCCTTGTTGGGTAGAGTATTTTTAGTTGTAGGTTTTTCCATTTCATCACTTTAAATACTTCCTGCCATTCCCTTCTGGCCTGTAGAGATTCTGCTGAAAAATCAGCTGTTAACCTTATGAGGATTCCCTTGTATATTATTTGTTGCTTTTCCCTGTTCTTTTTAATGTTTTCTTCTTTGTGTTTAATTCTTTTTAGTTTGATTAATATGTGTCTAGGCATGTTCCTCTTTGGCTTTATCCTGTATGGGACTCTCTGTGCTTCCTGGACTTGGGTGACTATTTCCTTTTCCATGTTAGGGAAGTTTTCAACTATAACCTGTTCAAATATTTTTCAGGCTCTTTGCCTTTTTCTTCTCCTTCTGGGACCCCTATAATTCGATTGTTGGTGTGTTTAATGTTGTCTCAGAGGTCTCTGAGACTGTCTTAATTTCTTCGTATTCATTTTTCTTTATTCTGTTCTGTGGCAGAGATTTCCACCATTTTGTCTTCCAGGTCTCTTATCCATTCTTCTGCCTCAGTTATTCTGCTACTGATTCCTTCTAGTGTATTTTTCATTTCAGTTATTGTCTTGTTCATATCTGTTTGTTTGTTCTTTAGTTCTTCTAGGCATTTGATAAAATTATCTTGTATCTTCTCAACCCATGCCTCCATTCTCTTTCTGAGATCTTGAGTCATCTTTATTGTCATTACTCTGAATTCTTTTTTAGATAGATTGCTTACCCCCTCTTCATTTGGTTGTTCATATAGGTTTTTATCTTGTTCCTTCATCTGTAACATATTTCTTTGTCATATCATTTTGTCAAACTTACTGTGTTTGTGCTCTCCTTTCTACAGGCTGCAGGATCATAGCTCCTCCTGCTTCTGGTGTCTGCCCCCTGTGGGTGAGGTTGCCATTATCTCCTTGATATGGGGTTTGATTGGTGTTTTGGTGACCAGAGCCTGCCCTAGATATTGACTGGGGTCTCCCCTTTACTCTGTGGTTGTCACTGCGCCGGGTAAGAGGTGAGGTCTGATCCCTAGTTGTTGAAGTAGAGGCCCCCAGATCTGCTTCTTAGCTATGATTCTGATCTGCATTGTGAGGTAGGCAGGATTGGAGCACTCCCACTGGGGGAGAAGCCACTGAGTATTCCTCCTCTGGAGCTGTCACCTGTGAATGTGCTCTGTTGTGTCCCCTTCCACCTGTTCTACAGGCTCGCAAAATATACTGTTGTTGGGCTTCCCTGGTGACGCAGTGGTTGGGAGTCTGCCTTCCGATGCAGGGGACGCGGGTTCATGCCCCGGTCTGGGAGGATCCCACATGCTGCAGAGTGTCTGTGCCTGTGAGCCATGGCCGCTGAGCCTGCGCGTCCGGAGCCTGTGCTCCACAACGGGAGAGGCCACAACAGTGAGAGGCCCACGTACCACAAAAAAAAATACTGTTGTTGGCACTGCTCTTGGTCCTGCCTTAGCTGTGGGTATGTCTGCAGTTAGCCCTGGTGACTCTCAGGTGTTGCTTTCACCTGGCCATTGGTGCAGATCCACTGAGGTCAGGTCCCAGGACTGTAGTAATCATGCACCTGGACCCACTGTGGGAGCTATGGAGACAGCTCAGGCTCTGGCCTGCCCCAACCCCCGTGTATACATGCCCATAAAGCTCACAGCTGCTAAAGTCAGACCCATTTCAGCTTCAAGAGCACTTGTTGTCCTTTCAGATGTTTCACAGGCACTGGATTTAGGAAGCGGTCAGAGGAGGTGTAACTATGCAGCTCACGCAGCTTCGAGGAGAGATTTCAGCTCTTCTTCCTGAGCCCCTGGGGCTCAGGTCTGGTTTCAGCCCCTCCTCTGGGCACATTTCCGAGTGGGCAGTAGCTATCCCTCTCAGGACAGCAGGGAGGGTCCTGGAACCAACTGGCAGATTTCTTAGTAGTGAGAGCTATCTGCATGCTCCTGGGACAGCTGGGCTGTTTCCTGCATCTGCTGACAGATTTCCTAGTAGCAAGAGGTTTCTGTCTGCTCCTGGGACAGTGTGGGCAGGTCCTGGGGCCCACTGGCAGAATTCCTAGTGGTTGGAGCTGTCAGCTCCCTTCCAGGTCAGCCGGGGTGGGTCCTGTGGCCCACTGGCAGAATTCCTAGTGGTTGGAGCTGTATGTGCCCCTCTGGGTCAGCAGGGGCTGGTCCTGGGGCCCAATGGTGGATTTCCTAGTGGTTAGAACTGTCCATCCACTTCCCGGTCAGTGAGTGTGGGTCCTGGGGTCTGCTGGCAGAATTGCTAGCTGCTGGAGCTCTCCACACCCTTCCAGGTCACTGATGGCAGGTCCTGTGGCCCGCTGGCCAAATTCCTAATGTGGGAAGCTGTCTGCACCTTCCCGGTCAGTGGGGGCAGGTCCTGTGACCCGCTGGTGGAATTCCTAGTGTTGGGAGCTGTCCGCGCTCTTCAGGGACAGAAGGAGCAGGACCTGGTGTCTGCCCACAGGTCTGAAAGAGGCTGCCAGTGCCAGCCTCTAGAGTGGCAGCGACTGGCGCCCATCACTGGAGCTCCTGTAGACAGTGTCTTGTTGCCTGGGAGCACTCACAGGGAAAGAAGTTCTTATGGTGGTCCTGCCCCTCTCCTCGTGTGCTTCCCAGTAATGGTGCCTTGCCTCTCTGGTGGGTCCAGGGTTCTTCCTAGTACACCATCAGTAGCCATGGCCTGACCTCTTCAGGCTATTTCTGCACCTAACTGTGGTCGTCTCCCTGGTCCTGAGCTCCGGAGTCTGAGCTTCAGCACCTGAACCCACCCTCACCAACAGAGGAGTATCTCAGGTAGGGGATAACAGGGTGGAGGTGCCGACCCTTTGTGCAGGTTACTTCTCCATTTATCCTCCCTAAAACAGGTTGCTGTTCTCCCCTCTTAGGCTCCAAATCTGCCCCTCTGTTCAGTCTAATCTCTCTGCTGGTGAAAAGCCTTCCCAAGGTGCAGGAAACTTTCCTCCTTTGCAGCTCCCTCCCAGGGATGCAGGCCCTGTCCTGATTCCTTCTTTTTCTTTTTCCTTTTGTCCTACCCAGTTACTTGGAGCTTTTCTTGTCTTTTTGGATGTCTGAGGTCTTCTGTTGGCACTTAGTAGCTGTTCTGTGTGAAACATTGCACTTATAGATGTATTTTCAATGTTCCTGTGGAGGGAGATGAACTCTGCTTCTTCTTCCTCTGCCATCTGGATCCCACCCCCCTATTTTTTATTTTTATTAATACCCAGAGCAACTGCTGTGAAAACCATACAAACAGATACATTTAAAAATCCTGTAAATAGATTAAGACAGAATCCTAAATGTTCAAGTACCCCAAAGGAAAACAAGAAAAGAGGAACTGAAGAATGAGCAATAGAGGAAACAAGTAGAGAATAAGTGATAAAATGGCTGACTTTAATGCTAAAATATCATAATTACCTCAAATGCAATGATTTAAATACATCAATCAAAAGAGACTGACAAAAGAATGAAAAGAAAAGAAAAGAAAACTGAACTGTTTGATACAAGAAACTAATGTCAAATTTAATAACATAGGTAGATTGAAAGTTAAAGAATGGAGGAAGGTATACCATGCAACCATTAATATAAAGAGAAGCAGGAGTGCTTATATTAATATCTGATAAAATGGACTTTAGAGCAGAAAAGATTTCTAGATATGAAGAGGGACATTACATAATGATAAAAGAATCAATCTATCAGGAAGACACATAGATCATATTTTTGCAGGCACCAAACAACAGAACCTCAAAATATATGAAACAAAACAAGAAATAGGTGAAAGAAGAAATGGACAAATTCACATAGTTGGTGACTTCCACACTGCCTTCTCAGAATCTGATAGAACTGCTAGACAGAAAATCAGCAAGGATATCGAACTGAATCACATGACCAACCAACACAATCTAAGTGATATATATGGAACACTCCAACCAAGAATAGCAGAATACACATTGTTTCAAATACCTATAAAACATTCATCAATTAGACCATATCCTGGGATGTAAAACAACCACCAACAAATTTGAGCAAATTGAAATAATACAGAATGTGTTCTCTGACCATAATTGAAAGAAATTATAAATCAGTAACATGAAGACAACAGAAAAGTCTCTAAATATGTGGACAATAACCAATACAATTCTTCATAATCTCTAAGTCAAAGAGAAAATTTCAAAGGAAAAATTTAAAATACATAGAATTGAATGAAAATGAAAATAGAACATTGCAAAAAATGGGGAGGTAGATAAAGCAGTGGTGAGAATAAAATTTATAGCTATAAATGCTTACATAAGAAATGAGAAAAGTTCTGAAATAAATAATCTAAGTTCCTAGGTCAAGAAGCTAGGAAAAGAGGAGTAAAGTAAAAAGAAAGCAACCAAGACAAAGGAAATAGGAAACCTTCAAGATGGCAGAAGAGTAAGACGTGGAGATCACCTTCCTCCCCACAAATACATCAGAAATACATCTACATGTGGAAAAACTCCTACAGAACACCTACTGAATGCGGGCAGAAGACCTCAGACCTCCCAAAAGGCAAGAAACTCCCCACATACATGGGTAGGGCAAAAGAAAAAAGATAAAACAGAGACAAAAGAATAGGGATGGGACCTGCACCTCTGGGAGGGAGCTGTGAAGGAGGAAAGGTTTCCACACACTAGGAAGCCCCTTCGAGGGTGGAGACGGTGTGTGGCAGCGGGGGAACCTTCAGAGCGACAGAGGAGAGCGCAGCAACAGGGGTGCAAAGGGCAAAGTGGAGAGATTCCTGCATAGAGGATGGGTGCTGACCAGCACTCACCAGTCCTAGGGGCTTGTCTGCTTACCCGCCAGGATGGGTTGGGATTAGAAGCTGAAGCTTGGGCTTCGGAGGTCAGACCCCAGGGAGAGGACTGGGGTTGGCAGTGTGAACACAGTCTGAAGGTCTAGTGCACCACAGCTAGCCGGGAGGGAGTCTGGGAAAATGTCTGGAACTGCCAAAGAGGAAAGAGACCATTGTTTCGGGGTGCGTGAGGAGAGGGGATTCAGAGCACCACCTAAACGAGCTCCAGAGATGGGCGTGAGCCACGGCTATCAGTGTGGACCACAGAGATGGCATGAAACACTAAGGCCACTGCTGCAGCCACCAAGAAGCCTGTGTGCAAGCACAGGTCACTATCCACACCTCTCCTCCAGGGAGACTGTGGAGCCCACCACTGCCAGGGTCCCGTGATCCAGTGTCAACTTCCTCGGGAGAACACATGGTGCACCTCAGGCTGGTGCAACGTCGTGCTGGCCTCTGCTGCCGCAGGCTCGCCCCGCATTCCATACCCCTCCCTCACCCTCGCCTGAGTGAGCCAGAGCCCACTAATCAGCTGCTCCTTTAACCCCATCCTGTCTGAGTGAAGAACAGACATGCTCAGGCGACCTGCATGCAAAGACAGAGCCTAACCCAAAGCTGAACCCTAGGAGCTGTGTGAACAAAGAAGAGAAAGGGAAATCTCTCCCAGCAGCCTCAGGAGCAGTGGATTAAATCTCCACAATCAACTTGATGTACCCTGCATCTGTGGAATACCTGAATAGACAACAAATCATCCCAAATTGAAGCAGTGGACTTTGGGAGCAACGATATATATATATATTTTTTCTTTTTGTGACTTTGTATGTGTATGCTTTTGTGTATAATTTTGTCTGTATAGCTTTGCTTTTACCATTTGCTCTGTCGGCCCATTTTTTTGTTTTTGTTTTTCTTAGTATGGTTTTTAGCACTTCTTCTCATTGGTGGATTTCTTTTAGGTTTGATTGCTCTCATCTTTCTTTCTTTGCTTCTTTTTTAAATTATTTTTTAATTTTTTTATTTTAATAATTATTTTTTATATTAATAACTTTTAAATTATTATTTTCTTTCTTTCTTTCTTTTTTACCTCTTTTATTCTGAGCCTGAGCTGTGGGCATGACAGGATCTTGGTGCTTCAGCCGGGTATCTGACCTGTGCCTCTGAGGTGGGAGAGCCAAGTTCAGGACATTGATCCACCAGAAACCTCCCAGCTACACATAATAACAAACAGCAAAAATCTCCCAGAGACCTCTTCTCAAAGCCAAGACCCAACTCCACTCAATGACCATCAAAGTACAATGCTGGGCACCCTATGCCAAACAACTAGCAAGACAGGAACACAACACCACCCACTAGCAAAAAGTTTGCCTAAATTCATAATAAGGTCACAGACACCCCAAAACACACCACTGGATGTGGACCTCCCCACCAGAAAAACAAGATCCAGCCTCATCCACCAGAACACAGGGACTAATCCCCTCCACCAGGAAACCTAAACTACCCATGGAACCAACCTTAGCCACTGGGGGCAGACACCAAAAACAACAGGAACTTTATGCAGCCTGTGAAAAGGAAACAGCAAACACAGTAAGTTAAGCAAAATGAGAAGACAGAGAGGCACACAGCAGATGAAGGAGCAAAGCAAAAACCCATCAGACCTAACAAATGAAGAGGAAATAGACAGTCTACCTGAAAAATAATTCAGAATAATGATAGTAAAGATGATCCAAAATCTTGGAAATAGAATGGAGAAAATACAAGAAACATTTAACAAGGACCTAGAAGAACTAAAGAGCAAACAAACAATGATGAACAACAAAATAAATGAAATTAAAAATTCTCTAGAAGGAATCAATAGCAGAATAACTGAGGCAGAACAACAGATAAGTGTCCGGGAAGATAAAATAGTGGAAATAAATACTGCAGAGCAGAATGAAGAACAAAGAATGAAAAAAATTGAGGACAGCCTCAGAGACCTCTGGGACAACATTAAATGCACCAACATTCAAATTATAGGGGTCCCAGAAAAAGAAAAGAAACACAAAGGGACGGAGAAAATATCTGAACAGATTAGAGTTGAAAACTTCCATAACATGGGAAAGGAAACTGTCAATCAAGTCCAGGAAGCACAGAGAAACTGTTAATCAAGTCCAGGAAGCACAGAAGATAAATCCAAGGAGAAACACACCAAGACACATATTAATCAAACTATCAAAAATTAAATCCAAAGAAAAAATATTAAAAGCAACAAGGGAAAAACAACAAATAACATACAAGGGAATCTCCATAAGGTTAAAAGCTGATCTTTCAGCAGAAACTCTGCAAGCCAGAAGGGAGTGGCAGGACACATTAAAAGTGATGAAAGGGAAAAAGCTCCAACCAAGATTACTCTATCCAGCAAGGATCTCATTCATATTCAATGGAGAAATGAAAACCTTTAGAGACAAGCAAAAGCTAAGAGAATTCAGAACCACCAAACCAGCTTTACAACAAAGGCTAAAGGAAATTCTCTAGGCAGGAAACACAAGAGAAGGAAAAGACCTACAATAACAAACCCAAAACAATTAAGAAAATGGGAATAGGAACCTACATATTGATAATTACCTTAAATATAAATGGATTGAAGGCTCCAACCAAAAGACATAGACTGGCTGACTGGATACAAAAACAAGACATGTAAATATGCTGTCTACAAGAGACCCACTTCAGACCTAGGGACACATACAGACTGAAAGTGAGGGGATGGAAAAAGATATTCCATGCAAATGAAATCAAAAGGAAGCTTAAGTAGCAATTCTCATATCAGAAAAAGTAGACTTTAAAATAAAGA